CACATCCTTACAGCTGATTACATCAATGATTGCGTCCACATCATAGACCAGGATGGACAATTCCTCCGTTACATACAGTGTGGATTGAGTCAACCCAGAGCACTGTCTACAGATTCAAATGACAATCTGTTCGTTATTCAATGTGTTAACACACAGGTGAGGAAAATCAAATATCTGCAATGAATCCATTGCTGATCTGTCTAAGTCTATACACTTTAAACGGATCCGTATTCTTAAAATGTTGACTAGACTTGCTGGTATTCTGTATTTTTAACTAATTTATTTCGCATGAGAAATACCTGCAAGTTTAATGACCTTCCTACATGTAAACTCTTGAATATTTCTTGCCTTTTAGTTATTCAAGACGTTATGTATATACATTTGTACATAGAATAATTTCTCTGAAACAGAAGTTAATTGTAGTTGTCGCCGATAAATTTCAAAGTGACAAATTGCGTATAGAAGTTGTTGCAAATAAACTTTTTTTTTGTTGGAAGACATTCTGTTTGTGCAAGCTGGTGCTCTAGGGTTGACATAAAAAATGCTTGGGTTTCTGATTGATTGTGTTTGTGTGGTTTTTGGAGACCGGGGTCTGTTTTACAAAAGAACTAACGACTAAGACCAAAATTTGATTCTGCTTACAACTTTATAATTTACATAAATCTGAAAACGGTTTCACTTTTTTTAAAGAATGTAGAATAATATCTTTATAGCAACAATTTCAACAAGAATAATTAAATTTGTAAAACTTTATAATCAAGACAAGTCTTTGGTTTTAGTCGTAAGTTTTTTGTTTGTAAAACGGGTCCCCGGTCTCCCGACAATTGTTGGCGGTTTTTGTGTTCATGTGAGGCGGAGTCTTGTACACGAAGGGAGGCGTTTGATGTATAACAAGGATAGAAATGGAAATATTTCGACCTAAGGATCACAAAAGAGTTGAATAAACAAAGGCAAGTCGGCTCATATCTGTAACTCCTTTTATACCACATATTTATTGGAATTCCCATGCGTACCAATTTATCCCCGAAATTAGCAGACCTACTTTTGTTTCCATATAAAACAGAATTCGTCCAAAATCTTATATGTGAACAGAAGAATTCACTTGTTGCCTTCAACTCCACATTTAGATATATCGAAGACGTGACGTATACCACAGAGTCTGTCAGAGACATCTGTTTTATATTTGGAGATATTTTGCTCGAAAAAACAACCTTACTGGTAATCTAACAACCAAACTCTATAATAAACGAGATGACTTTAACCTTTCTATATCGTCAACCCCCCTTACTTATGCAGCAATATACCTTCATCACCTGCATATGGAGTTTTTTTTTATAGCTCAGTTGGTTCGATGCGCGGGAGCATGCATGCTTTACGTATGAAAAATTTCTACAGCGGGGTAAATTACTGACAAAAAAGTTGGTGGGGCGGGAATATCGACAGTCTCCTTTGAAGTCTTCATTTTGTAAGTTCAGTAGTCGATACAATGACATTTTGTCAGCAAATGTTATTTAATATATTTATCATTTAGTCAAATGCTGACTGCCGTTTTTCCTACAAACTGTTAGTCGATTATTTATACGCTAAACTGACGACGGATTTTCCCGTTAATTTCCAGATCATGACAAGGAGCACACGGCGGATGTAACCGGTCGACAGGGATGTTCTCTCCTTCCCGATCATGACAAGGAGCACACGGCGGGTGTAACCGGTCGGCAGGGATGTTCTCTCCTTCCCGATCATGACAAGGAGCACACAACGGGTGTAAGCGGTCGGCAGGGATGTTCTCTCCTTCCCGATCATGACAAGGAGCACACGGCGGATGTAACCGGTCAGCAGGGATGTTCTCTCTTTCCCGATCATGACAAGGAGCACACGGAAGATGTAACCGGTCGGCAGGGATGTTCTCTCCTTCCCGATCATGACAAGGAGCACACGGAAGATGTAACCGGTCGGCAGGGATGTTCTCTCCTTCCCGATCATGACAACGAGCACACGGAGGACGAACCGGTCGGCAGGGGATGTTCTCTCCTTCCCGATCATGACAAGGAGCACACGGCGGATGTAACCGGTCGGCAGGGATGTTCTCTCCTTCCCGATCATGGCACACGGTGGATGTAACCGGTCGGCAGGGATGTTCCCTCCTTCCCTATCATGACAAGGAGCACACGGCGGATGTAACCGGTAGGCAGGGATGTTCTCTCCTTCCCTATCATGACAAGTAGCACACGGCGGGTGTAACCGGTCGGCAGGGATGTTCTCTCCTTCCCTATCATGACAAGGAGCACACGGCGGATGTAACCGGTCGGCAGGGATGTTCTCTCCTTCCCGATCATGACAAGGAGCACACGGCGGGTGTAACCGGTCGGCAGGGATGTTCTCTCCTTCCCGATCATGACAAGGAGCACACGGCGGATGTAACCGGTCGGCAGGGATGTTCTTTCCTTCCCGATCATGACAAGGAACACACGGCGGATGTAACCGGTCGGCAGATATGTTCTCTCCTTCCCGATCATGACAAGGAGCACACAGCGGATGTAACCGGTCGGCAGGGATGTTCTCTCCTTCCCGATCATGACAAGGAGCACACGGCGGATGTAACCGGTCGGCAGGGATGTTCTCTCCTTCCCGATCATGACAAGGAGCACACGGCGGGTGTAACCGGTCGGCAGGGATGTTTTCTCCTTCCCGATCATGACAAGGAGCACACGGCGGATGTAACCGGTCGACAGGGATGTTGTCTCCTTCCCGATCATGACAAGGAGCACACGGCGGGTGTAACCGGTCGGCAGGGGATGTTCTCTCCTTTCCAATCATGACAAGGAGCACACGGCGGGTGTAACCGGTCGGCAGGGATGTTTTCTCCTTCCCGATCATGACAAGGAGCACACGGCGGATGTAACCGGTCGACAGGGATGTTGTCTCCTTCCCGATCATGACAAGGAGCACACGGCGGGTGTAACCGGTCGGCAGGGGATGTTCTCTACTTCCCGATCATGACAAGGAGCACACGGCGGATGTAACCGGTCGGCAGGGATGTTCTCTTCTTCCCGATCATGACAAGGAACACACGGCGTGTGTAACCGGTCGGCAGGGATGTTCTCTCCTTCCCGATCATGACAAGGAGCACACGGCGGATGTAACCGGTCGGCAGGGATGTTCTCTCCTTCCCGATCATGACAAGGAGCACACGGCGGATGTAACCGGTCGACAGGGATGTTCTCTCCTTCCCGATCATGACAAGGGGCACACGGCGGATGTAACCGGTCGGCAGGGGATGTTCTCTCCTTCCCTATCATGACAAGGAGCAAACGGATGGTGTGATTGGTCGGTAGTGAATGCTCACTCCTCCGTGGCACCTGATCCCACCTATGATGTTTTTGTGAAGGTCCATGTTTGCTCTGCTCCTGTTTAGTATTGTTCTCTGGAATTTTGATCTTGAATACTGTTCGTTATCTCCATGTTTTATATATTTCAATTCAATATATACTCTTTTAATATTAATATTTATGTTGAAAATTAATATTTTACATTTGTAAATAACTTAAATTATGCTATTTTTAAACTTTATAATTTACATCATAGTTCTTAACTTGAACTAATCAGATCAATCAATGATTAGATGAAACATTTACGTAATTGTTATTTTTAACTTACCGCAAATTAAACTTGTATTGTCAACTTGCCTATAAACTTTAACAAAGATGTTTAACATTAGACATTTGACTTGTTTAGCCATTCCAGCTTCAATCTACTTAAACAAGAGTTAGTATTAACTGTAAATATTATACATTTATTGCATGATAGTGAGGGAAATATGAAGACTTATTCAGCCAAGAACATCATATGCCCCGAGGGCTTCGCCCGAGGGAAATATAATATTTCTTGGCTGAATAAGTCTTCATGTTTCCCGAACATTCATGCAATGAATCGTGTATTATACCGAAACAAGCAAAACCTTTGAAATAAACATAAACTTTCAAATTCGGCACCGCTCTCAAATTCACTTTCATTTTTAACGTAAAATTACTAAACCCTTTGGTCAACACTTTATCATCAATTTTGTGACGTAAAGCAAGTCGGGAGTTTTCTTTTAATGAACGATAATTATTGCAGGAAAATGCACTAAGTATCCGAAGAGGTTGAATATGATAAAAAGCATGCCGACGTAAGGGAAATATGAAGTTTTACGGCCCGATCACGTGATGATCTAGAACTAATCAGAAAACGCGTTGTGTAGAATATTTATAATGAGGTATAATAATATTTTATATCGAAGAAGTTAAAAATACATCAAATAATATATAAACGCTTAACAAATGCCTTTAAATAAATATACAATTTATATGTGGACAATACGACAATAAAAACCCAACTGCAAACTCAAATTGATCTCCAGTAATAAAAGAGATTATTGGTTGGTGATCCTTTAAGTTTATCAGAAGGTAGTCTTTAAACAACCCTCCTCCTCCCTCAGTTTTTCCCTCTGTAAGTCAGCTAAGTTTTGTAGTACCATGGTGTTTTTCTTAATACTGGAGTCTAACGTCATCAACAGACGTCCATTCTGTCTTGTGGCTTCCAGTAATTCCTTAAGTGTATTCACCATTTCCTGCCTTAAAGAAATGTCATCTCTTTCCTGGATACCTTGTGTAAGAGTGTCATCTCCCTTTTCTTTTGGGATATCATCACCCAAGTCTTCCTCTGAAGCTACGTTTGGTTGTTGACCTGAAGTTGAGGAAATCTCTTGAGGAAAGATTCCTGACGGATCAGACAAGCTTTCATTCTCATTTGTTCCAGATGAAGACTCTTTGGTTTCCTGGTTGAGGTTTTCTTGCCTTCTGTCTTGTTCGATCTAAGATTTATTAAAATATAAAACCAGTGAATACTTTCTTATTATTAATTTTATATGTAAAAATAAATAGACCTAATAATTTGATGGATTGTTTTTTTAAATGTTAAGGTTATGGATCAAAATACAATATTCCGATATTTAAACCAAACTATTATCAACAGTTCAAGTCTATTGTGACATGTTTGACTCTCAAGGTCGGTGAAAATTCTATCAAAATTAACATTTAATCATATACACATGTACTACTGTAAAAATATAACTCATGACCCCAGAACGGAGCATGGTAGTAAAAGATGTGTTTTATAAAAAGTACCCAACTACAAACTGACCACGTGAACTTATATGCTAGACTTATTACTAGTAAATATATAGGACAAATGTAATTGTAAAGGCAATTCAAATTTGTAAAATCTGACCATCGAATGGTATCAGAAAATCAAAATTTACCACTGAATACCATCCAACAAGTTACATTTCATCATATACTACCTACCTTTGCACAAGTACTATTTAAATCTGACCATGGGCTACCATTAGACTAGTTAGAAATGATTGTAAACTCACAATAAGCAAGTCTTGCTGCTGCATACAGATCTGCATTGTCATTTTACTAGAATGAAAACAAAAAAGGCCACTGCATGTAAAAAATAGATAATGCCTTTTGGATTTATATTATCAAACAATAGAATTTTATCGGTATTTATTATTTCTTTAAAAATCAGCATTTTTTTTCACTTGAACACGTTGAATGACCCAAAAAATACATTTAATGGCTACATTTCTTTTTGATATTCAAATATTCAAAATATTCAAGAGCCTTTGTTTCAATTTATGTGCACCATTTTCAACCATTAAAACTGATGCTCCTCTACTGGATCTGAGACTGAAATCTAGAGTATATATATTTTATTAATCCAGTCAGCATAACTAACCTGATGTTTTCTAATTGTGACTTAGACCAATACTTGGAGGAGAGGCTCACTCGCGGATTTATGGAAGTCAGACTTTCTTCATTTTCCGTCTTTCCCTCTTCCATCTCCTACAAAGAGTCTTTTTATGTTATAGAAGTAAACTTTAACAAACTGAGTACTGTAATATACTTGTCTTCTACCAACAAGTATAATCTGGTGGTAGACAGACTACTCGGCCCAACGACACCTCGGCCCGTGCTGGTTGACACCTCGGCCTTGACAGGTCGGCTCAAAATCATTGACACCTCGGCCCATACCGAAGACTGCTCGGCCCAACAGAAATAATTAAATTTTGTTTATATTTATTAGTCTTTTATTAATTTTTTTTTGTATTTTCTATATCCATGATATCATGGTAATATAAATATATACTATATGTATTTTTAATCACTATACGTTTACTATAAATATTAGATCATTTCTATGGGGCGCCGTTTTAATATTTCTAATGTACAGTATTTTCTGATATCAAAAAATCATTATTAATATATTTATTAGCCATTTAAAAAAAAATGACTGGTTGCCCTCTCCCAACTGACTGATGAATTTACTAATAATTATGTGTAAACCAATAGTTCTACACAGAAGTTTATGTCCTGGTCCACAAGATTTATTAATTTGTTAATTATTTTTTATATTTTAATGTTTAATTTTAAAAACTCATTTTTTTTTCAAATCAATTCAATAATATCAACAATGGTTTTTTAAAGGAACTTTTCATTAACATTAACTCCCAATTATGGCTTCTCATAATTAACTCCTCATATTCACCACCCCCTATGACACGCGCTCGAGACTCTAAAGGTTGCACTGCGTCTTAAAACTTGTTTGTTTAATGATTAGCACTTATAATCAAGAACTACTAATGGATCGTCTTTCTTTAATTACCGTCAATTTGCCATCTTGGAAGATTGCAAATGTATCAAATTAATTTTCTTTTACATTTCATAGATATATAACAACATAAATAATAAATATATTTAATTAAAATAATATATTTCTGTTTGGACCGAGGTGTCTCTTATGTGAGCCGAGTTGTCTGCAAATTTGGTCCGAGCCGTCGGAGCCGAGGTGTCAATGGGCCGAGGTATCGTTGGGCCGAGGTGTCGTTGGGCCGAGCAGTCTGACATTCAATCTGGTTACTCTCAAAAATCAAAATGGTCATAATTCTGTAAAAAGTTATGGAAGCAGAAAGAAACGCAAATCTGATCTGTAACTCAACTCATCGTGTTACACTCTCAAAATGGACGTCAGCTTAGTAACTATAAGTGTTAAAAATACAGAAAGCCAAGTGGGACAGACTAACAGACAGTTAGACAGACAGAGGACGGGGAAACCTAGACCTTAGACCTAGACAATAGAGGTTTGGACTAGTAATATTGTCTGTAATATAAATGTTCAGTTTAATCATAAATGTGGGTATTGTGTCTCTCTCTCTACCCCCTCTCTCGATTTAGTCAGAGCGCTACTTAATTGTGTCTTGTTTGTTTGTTTTGATCATATTCATTGACAACATGTCAAAGGGACTGGACACAAGTTCCAATTGTGTCATTATTTGTCTCCTAAATCTGTAGGAGGTTCGTCTCAAATTTGTTTCTTTGTTATTTAATACTTTATAAATATAACATAACGTTTCAAAATTGATCCAAAGTGGATTTTTGGACAATGTCTTTTTTTTTTGAAAATTGGAAGAATTTCACATCAGTGTTGTGTATATTTCTTCAATGGCTTTCATTTTCTTTTAACAATACTTGATCAATTTCTTCCGTGTCAGATTGAAATAAGAACATTTTGCCTGTTCAGTTGTTAGGACGCTGTATTTTTGCGCAGACGGTTTTGTTTACAACTCTTGCCGACTTTGATTTAAAAGACTTCATTATAGATAACGACTGTTCATTCGCCAAAATGGTCAACAAACAAAACAAGTGAAGAGATGTATTTCATAACAAATACCCTTGTAAATGTTTGCAGAATGATGAACCTAATTCCTAATCAATTGGCTTGATAATATCTCATAATAGTACTCTAAATTTGGCACTTTTCTACAATTACTGAAATATTTGGTTTGGATGTAAAGCACAGCATTCAATCCATTCATCACTCACTGTGTCTATCGGTTCGACTGAGGGGTCAGTCCCGGAAACGGCGGAGTATTCTGGATTCTCTTCTTGGTCCACGTTATCCTCAACATCTTCCACAGACAAGGTTTCCTCGCCGGACGGCTCTGGCAACAATACTATTCAGTATCAGTACTTTGGAACACTTAGGCAACAAGATTTTCACAGGTAACATGTTCCCATGTAATTTGAATAATCCTCAGCAAAATTAAAATTTATATTTTCAAAAACAAAGTACATTGAATGTATGTCTATGAATTACACCATCTGAAACGGTAATTTAGATAGATTACTTTATAGATATCTACATGTTACTACTCACTGTCATAACCCACAGGCTCGCCCTGCACACACGGACCCTTTCTTCCACTTATCCATGACTTTAAACTGTCATTATTTACCGCTGTAACCGTGAAAACTGTCGCTAGTGCTCAGTGTCGCTGTTAATAGAATATATAGGGAAAAGAGCGACACTGAGCACTGGCTTCTGCGCATGCCTAGGGATTTCGGTCGCTTCAAATCGAAGCGGTGTCCCACTGAATTAATTCCATGGTAATAGTATCCAAAGTCGTAGATTTTTAAGTTTTCTTTGTTTATTTTTATCTTAAAAGAAGGCAAGACAAATAAAATTTTAAAATTTTAGAACTTTTCATTTTTTTTTTTACCTCGTATAGAATTATTAAATGATCTTTTTAATTTCTATATCATAGAGAATAAACGGCTACACATTTAATCGCGGTAAATTGAACAGATACTTGTATTTAAAAAAAGAAGAAAAAACGGTGTCTACCCACTTAGCCAACATTTTGAAAAAATACAGGTAAAACACAGGTAAATCTGTGTTGGCTAAGTGGGAATGGGGTGTAGGTAGAGAACAAAAGAAATTAATTACAGGTAGGCTATAGTCTGTTTTAGCTATATGCTAAATAAATAGTAAATAATTCATATAAGAAGAAAGATATTAAAAAATTTTGAATGTTGTCTTCTTATTAATATCAAATATTTCATATAAAAAAAATATGAAATAAATTTTTTAAAACCATGATTTAAAAAAAAAATACTTCAATATTTTAATATTATTTTTAGATTTTTTCTTATTTAAAATATGAAATGAATAACACATTCTCTTTCTCTAAAGAATTATATTTAATTATACCTGAACATTAATGTAAACCTAAAATAATAAAAGCTTACAGTAACATTAATTTTTTTTCATCTGGAAATATAAATATGAAAACTAAGATAATTTATTTATATATGTGTATAGGTTAAGTTTTTTACAATATGTTATGCATTTCATTTCCGGAATTTTTTGTTATTATCAACTTTTTATTTATATAAAAAAATGTATTCATTATCTCAGACAGGTGTCAAAAATTACCTGTATGTTAATAACTAACAAACACAGCTTAATGTTAATGTTACTGTAAGCTTTTATTATTTTAGGTTTACATTAATGTTCAGGTATAATTAAATATAATTCTTTAGAGAAAGAGAATGTGTTATTTATTTCATATTTTAAATAAGAAGAAATCTAAAAATAGTATTAAAAATAATGAAATATTTTCTAAAAAATCATAGTTTTAAAAAAATTATTTCATATTTTTTATATGAACTATTTGATATTTATAAGAAGAAAACATTTAAAGTTTTTAATACATATTTTTCTTATATGAATTATTTACTATTTATTTAGCATATAGCTAAAACAGACTATAGCCTACCTGTAATTAATTTCTTTTGTTCTCAACCTGCACCCCATTCCCACTTAGCCAACACAGATTTACCTGTGTTTTACCTGTTTTTTTCAAAATGTTGGCTAAGTGGGAAGACACCAACTGAAGTCTAGTAGCGAACCTTAAATATCTGTATTTTATCAAAAAATAAGTTGAAAATATATATAAGTTCTATCAACCAGTTTTTATTTAACAGATAAATAACGAGAAACACGCATAATTATGAAGAATGAGCATCAGTGAAAAGTGTCGCTCTTCAAAATGGCAGTTTCCTATTTTCTCACACCTGACTTATATATCCTCTATAAAACAATTATACAGTAAACAGGCAAGTGGTGGGGCTTAGTTACATTTGGTGATGTGCCATATACCCTGGAACTAAAAGTGAGAGCCTGCCAGATATGATCCTGGGTTGGGGTCTTTAAACCAAAACCAAGACCTTTAAGAAGGGAGGAATGTGGTAGTCAGCCTAGTTAGATCGCCAGTGACCGGATAGCTCAGTTGGTTATTTGAGACCTGACCGGAGATTCAGGGGCCACGGTTTGAATCTCAGTCTGGTCTGCATTGTTTTTCTCCTCTCCCATAAAAGGAAAAGATCCGAAGGGGACATCAGATCATTAGAGTGAAATTACTCCTACTCTCAGCATAGCTCTATTAACAATACTCATTTTCTTATACTTGTATTGTCTTCACTTTTTTTATAGAATAATGTTTAGCAAAAAGTA